ATGTTTTGGGGAATGTTGTATTTAGCATTGGTGAGTGAGGTGAAGTTAATTCGGGTAGACGATAAAATGTGGCGACTTGCGCTAGTGGTCGCGAGCCTTGCGTATTGAGCTGTTAAATGGGCTTCACGGATTTCACGTAGGGTATTTATGACTCCTGTCTGGTGGAGTAGTGCGTTAGAGGTATTGATTCCAATGCCTAGACGTATTTGTAAACTCTGTGGAGGAGGGTGTTGACCGATTCCTCCTCTGCTAATTTAAGGTGAAGGTAAGGAAGGGTATATGTGATTTTACTGATCACAAAAGCTTGTATTACACGAAGTAACTCAGACTCCCGGAGCCCTCCAATTTTCCCTGAGATTCTTCCCATCATTCTTAGGGCGTTGTCAATGGTATTGCGTAAAGCTTTGAGTGTGTACGTATTAAGTCGGTTGTTTTGGATAAATAAACCTAGCACACGAATGCGTGATACTGTATGAATGAGGCACCCATTTATGTGAACTTCAATAATTGGAACGTGTTTGTTCCGACGATGAGTTGGTAGAAGGAGTAACTATGATTTAGTTGGGGTACAATAGAGATGGGAGCCAGGGAACGCGACGGGCGTTCGGATGGCGTAGCCGAGATGGGGTGGAGTGGAGACCATGACAGCTGCCCTAGAGACGCGCAGAAGACAGAAGACGCTGTCACAGGGCTCAGGTCACCAAAATCGGCGGTAGGAATCCAAGTGCATAATCTCTAAAGAGTACTCTTCTTGACGAAACTCGTACGGGTATAAGAGTTCAGGAACGCGAGGAGCACTGCGCGGGACGCGGTAGCGTCTCTTGCGGACTCGAGAGCTCCGGGCAACACGTCTTCTCTCTGTGAACGCTTGAGAGAGACTCCTCCAGACACATGACCAAGTTGACTGGCGTAACACGGGAGAGCCGTTTATCCTGCAGTGGACGTAGTCAGGCTGATGATAATGATATTAAGAAGAGGAAAAAGAAGATGATGATGATGACGATCAATGTTTTTTTCAAATTCTCGTGCCAGATCTACATCCTAAATGACCCATATTCGACATACTGTAAAGGCATTTCAAATGTCATCGTTATCTGACATTTTGTTGAAACTCATTTCGTTACGTTTTAATTTTCTAAGTTTCAGCAAAACCGAGTATTAAGTGCGATGCCCCTTAGAATCTAGACTTGTCGGCGTCTATAGTCGTCATGAAATGTCATGGTCCACCATGAAAGCAGGTATGTGCCGCAGTTGCTAAATCTCACTACTCACTGCCCGTCCAGTAAAAATAAAAAATCAAGCAGCCCAACAAATAGCTGCGACGACGTTAGTGGTGCAGATACATCTTTTCCTACATTATCTACGGAACTGAAATGTACCATGTAAAGAAGACGAAAAAGAAGGCTTCTTTCCTTCCTTCCTTGCTTCCTTCCTTCCTTCCTTCCTTCCTTCCTTTTCCTTCCGTCCCTTCTTCATTCCTTCCTTTTTACTTTATTGCTTCCATTTCCTTTCTTGCTTTTCTTCATTCGTTTTTGTGCCTTACATTCTTTCTTCCTTCCTTCTGTTTTTCTTGCTTCTTTTCTTTCCTTCCTTCCGTTTTTTCCCCTTCTTTCCTTCCTTTTCTTTCCTTTTTTTCTTTTTTTCTTTTGTGTAGTTCTTCGTCGAGAACATCTTCCTGCGTCACGGAGCCCTAGAACTCCTTCTTACTTACAGAGGTACGGCCTTTACTACGGACCTAACTCTTGCGATCCTGAAATACAGCCAAATAAGTCACCACCGGACCACCGCCTACCATTCACAAACCAATGACCTCACCAAGCGTCTTAACAAGATAATCGCTGGTACGATGATCCTGCATGTTGACGCCAAACACAAGACGTGACATGCAATTCTTCCGCACGTGACCTTCACGTGCAACACCACCATGCAATAAACGACGCAAATGACGCCGTACAAGCTGGTGTATGAAATGAGCCTGGCCACGACGCTTGACGCCATGCTACACAACTTCAGCAACGAAAGAAACATCGACGAGGCTATTTATCTCTAGCGCACCGAAGAAGCTCGACAACTCGCCCGTCTTCGCATCTAGAACCAACCGTCGGCCGGCAGCCGCCGTTAGTCTTCGACGAAGTTTCGTGGAATGCCAGCCCGGTGATCATGTCTAGGTGTGGACACCGATACGCTGACGTGGACTCGGGGAAAAACTTCTGCGACGGTACTTCGGACCGTACTGGGTCGTTCGACGTCTCAGTACACTCGACTGCGAGGTTGTCCTCGACGGCGTCAAGAGCTCTCAAATGCGGCGTGCGCGAGCTGAAGTCGTTCATGTCGTGCGCCTCAAGCCATTTTATGCGCGTATCTAAGGACTATATTGTTTCTTGGTGTGTCTATATTGTTGTGGTTTATTGCTTGTACTTGTTTATTATTGCAATTTTTTGCTTTGTTGGATGAATTTTTTAGGTTTCGTTCTGTTACAAGCACAGGCGATTTGATATGTGGCGTTTAACGTCCCAAACCCACCATATGATTATGAGAGATGCCTTAGTGGAGGGCTCGGAAATTGAGACCACCTGGGGCTCTTTAACACTTTCAGCCTTGATTTTTTAGCCAGCAGATGTTTTTTTTATTTATTGTTGATTAGGAGCTACTACTACCTCAAGAACACAATTTTTTTTCTGAGCATCCCATCAGTATGCAAGAAAAATGGCTCCATGTAATAAATATAGGACACCAGGGCTTAGTGGTTGTAGAGTGAAATATAGTGAATTTAAAGACATCTATTTATTTAGCCCTGTTAGTGCAAGTTATCGTTGTGAATCTAACATATAGCAACCACGTATTCGGTACAGCGCCTAAAATGTCCCGTAGCCAAACTTTGCGCTTGTGATACACAGCTTCTCATTGCACTTTAATGACCACTGTCTACTTATTGAACACTTTCGAAGAGCCAATATCGTAAAAATTGCCGAATCCTGCTTTGCCGGGCCAGAATTATTTCCGCCCACGTTTGCAAGGGCAACCTGATTGAACTGCACATCGTCGACGTCATCTTCTAGCTCCATCACGCATCATTAATATATTTCATGAAACGAATTCATTACGCACTATCTCACTATTAGCTACCCCTTACATATTATCTAAGTGATGTGGGCAGGTTTATTCACTAGAATAACAAGAAATTGGGATCATTTACAAAAGCTATACATCTGGACTAGCCTAAATGCATTCAGGGGTCTGACAACTACTGAACCCTGGTGTCCTATTTTAGGACATCAAGGTTGTCCACTGCGTCGAGCGATACATTAGTATTAAGGAAGACCCACTTTGTAAATCGCACGTTAGAGATCTTAGAAACAACATGAAAGAATACGATAGCTACAGATCTAATAGTTAACCAGTAAGGTGTCATTTATTATTTGGCTGTGGCGAGTGTCGTCGTTATTGCATTCCGCCGTTTTGTTTTCCATATTCCAGAGTTTCAAAGAAGACGACGACGAAAAAAATTACTACCTGTGCTTGCGCAGGTGTATTGAGTATAGTTCGGGTACCTTCTTGAATTTCTGACTTCATTACGTCACATTTGGCAGCGAAATTTCTTCCCGTCCTTTTTATAAGACGCGAGGGCCGAAAGAGTTAACGTGCACCGAAACCTGAGCACAAGGACCTACTGCCTTTTCGCCTCCATCGAGAATTCAGCTGCCACAGCCGGGTTTCGATCCCGCAACCTGTGGGTCAGCAGCTGAGTACCTTAGCTACTAGACCACCACCGCGAGGCTGTCATAAGCACCGAGGCGATGCTTTCTGCAGAAGGGGCAATGCCATGCGCGTTCGTTATTTTCACCCTCGTTTCATCCGGTTTTTGCCAGCAAAGCCTGTCAGAAATGTTAAGCACGAACTACGCCTCATTGTTCGAGAAATTTCGCGATCATTGTAGACTTTTATGTCAAGATTGCGCTCAAGACTCGAACACTCGAGCTTATCCCAGAACTTGCGCGACGAGTACTGAAAGGTCAGAAATATTTGACTGCACCTGTATACATACCGACACACTTCGCTGCTTGTCAGCTGATCAGCGGCCGACGCTCTGTTCACCGCTGTCAGTGCTAGTGTGTGTATCAGGGTAATCTGACTTTCCGTTACCATTCACAAGTTCGGCCTAATAGTTTCCTTTTAGATCTACAGTCTGCTCCCTTCGTCGCCGTCACGACCCCGTGAAATGTGGGATGGCCAGCGAACGGTTGTGCAGCGCGAGCAGTCTTTTTGTTTTTTTCAATCAAGCAACTCGCTAGCAGACTCTGCTTGCGTTGGCGTAGCAAGGCCAGAGAGGGGTAGCGTAGGCGAAGAGAGAGGGGGGAGGAGACGCCCATGCGCATTGGTGGTATAAACGCCGCGGGGAGGAAGCCTATACAAAAGAGGGAAGTGAGCGTAGGTGAGAAGATGCTCCCTGCGTCGGCGTTGCGAGACAGAAGAGGGGAACTAAGGAGAGGAGAGCGAGGGGGACGCGCATGCGCAATGGGGATATTAACGCCACTGGGACAGGTGCCTAGAAAAGACAGAGAGGGAGCGAGTGCAAGCAGGTGGTACGAGAGAAGTAGAGAGAATAACGTGCAGGTGTTGGAGAAAGGGAAGGAGGGCTGCGCATGCGTAGTGTGAGTGCGGACGCTGCCGACGCCGCGTGACATAGGCCCGAGCAGGAGATGCTTTATATAAAAAAAGGGAAAGGGGTATTGTTACCTGCCATTGTGGTCGTCGGATATATGTGGATTCCGAGGCGGAGTAAGAATTACTTCCACATACATTGGAGATCAGGAACACACTGCCAAAAACTTTGCTTTATTGCTCGAAACTGCTAGAGCACGCGTGAGCTCGGCGCCAATTCATGTTTTCCTCGCACTGCCTGTCCCAAGTGCGAACAATTGACAATGCTTCCTTGATGCGCAACATCATGAGAATGTATCCTCTACAGACTTCACTGAGGTGATCAGCACAGGCGGCTCCTAGTTATTGCTCGACTGGCGAGAGGTTGACAGAGTGGAGCCTCGGTGCGATGAGTTCTCGGCGGAGGAAACTCTTCCTGGGTGCCCCATCACTGGACATTCAGGGAATCTGTGCTGTGATGTTGTACTCAACTCGTTTTTTTGGTGTGGCTGGTGGTCAGTAACTGGCTGGGCCGAGGAGGGGAAGCCAAGGGGGAAACCCAGTGGTACACCAGGGAGCTTGTCCATGGGAGAGCCCGCAGATGTTGGCAAGTCGGTCCTCGTGCAGAAGCTCATGGCTGCTGCCGCATTGACTTCTGCAGCAGAAGCGTGGGACACAAGAAGCATGGGAGAGTTGTGCATGGGCGCTTCTCGGAGTCGTGCGTTGACAGCCAGCAGTTGGTCCCGGCATGCTTGCAGGCCACTGATTCTAGACTCCAACTCCATGTTCTCTGAGCGCAGCTGATGAAGACACGACAGCAGCGATGCAATGTCAAAGTCATGGCTCTGCCTCATGAGAAAGCCAGATTCCTGGTCCCACTGACGTTTACGCAGCTGCTCCAGGGTCTGCGGAATCAAGCTTGGTACAGCGGCTGATTCGAGCCATGCGGGACTCCAAGGCAAGCTGACGCAGGGGGGCCCGTCTTGACACATTGACGCCCAACCTTCTGGGGGCATTGCTGATGACACTTGCACACATTTGTCCTCATGGTCCGTCGATGGCTGCAGCACCTTGTCTCTAATATTACTCGACTCAAAGGTGTCATCGTAAGACTCAACGCGGGCAGGCTGCGTAAGCACGGAATCAGCTGATGCAGGACGGCTGCCTTCTTCCCCACCCGGGCTCAGCTTTCGGTAATATGTGTGGTAAATATTGCCACTTCCCATCACTGAGGGCAGGCCATTGGTGGCTCTGCCGGCGGCCGCCGTTTGGGCAGACGGTGACCGCATGGGAGGAACCTTCTGTCGAAGCTTCGGGCACCCCGCGGTGCTGCGCTTACTGCTGCCCCCCGCGCTGCAATTTTCTGTGGTCTCACGCTCTCCACTGATCGACGGCGATGATCTGCTGCTGCCACCCTGGGATGGAGAGGGCCACTTGGCCTTTGGCCTCTTCTCGCCATGGCGACTGCTGCTCACAAGGTTTTCGTAATTAATACTGAAGCTGGGTTTTGGGTTGATACTGGACAGATATGATGGTGGGGGAAAGAGTGGTTCTGTCTTGGCCTGCAGCAGAGGTACAAGTTGCTGTTGCTGTGGTGACTTCTTCTGCTGTTGAGGTTGCTGTGACTGCTGCTGTTGAGCAGCTGCTGCTTCCTGGTCAGCTGCAATAATGTGGTGTGAAGCTTGTGATGCCGTTGCGGCTTGCTGTGCAGGCCTCTGGGCTTTGGACTCCTCGGTGCTACCCAGCGGACGACCCCACTTGAGCTGCCGCTCCCCAAACACAAGGCTGCCTGTCTGCACCACCATCGCTTCCGTCAAGTTGGCTGTCGTGAATTTGCCTGATGGCTGAGGCAGCGAAGTACTAGATGTGGCCATGCATGACGAGGGCGACGACTCTCCAGATGTGGCTTCATATTGGGGCTCTGTGGCATTGCTGCTGGCACCACCTTTTGAAGACACCTGGCCATTACACGACGGCCGACTGCATCCACGCCACTCCCTGCTCATACTGCTGTGACGTGCCGACGTGGCCCTGGGTATAGGTGGCTTCTGAGGCGGCGAGAGACTTACGTTCACACACTTTGGAGATCAGGAAGGATCGATTGCTATAGACTGCTCGAGCGCGCGTGAGCTCGGCGCCGATCTATGTTTTCCACGTGCGAAGGCCTGAGGAAACCATAGATCCATAGAAACCAAATTTGGCGTTCGTTTCATGTCTCAAAAAACACACTTGTTTCTGTTTTAAAACAATACTTGCATTTATAACAAGTGACGTTTTTTTAACTGAATATGTAAAGTGGTGATAAACAATATTTAACAAACACAAAATATCTATCTTCTAAGTTTGGAAGACTGCGTGATGAAGTGCTGGCAACGGCGATCAAAACGAGCAACAACTAACAACGCAAACGGCAAACCGCTGGCGTGTTGCGTGGTGTGTTGTTCTGGTGCTAAGTGTACTTGTGCTGTTCGTTCGAAGCCGCGCAATGTTGCACCTGGACCGCCGCAGAAGGCTACTGCTATTAAAGAAAAAAGTGATCTTGATTCAAAAGCAGCAAAGGGAAAAGAGACGCAGGTGGTGGGTGAGGCCTTCATGGACAAAGCGTCACTCCGAGAGCGAGTTTTTTACGACGGTAAGTAGCATTTCTTTTTATTCGGTGGTCATAAAAGCGTGTCATTGAGTGATAACTGTGTTATTTTCTTACGCAATGGAGTGATGATATTCTGAACAGCTTTATTGTTGTGCGAAAGGACACAGGTGCGCGAAGAGGCACTTATGGCAACGTATTATGAACACTAAAGTATTCTGGACCATGTACTCTTCAAAAGCATGCTGTCTACTTCTACTCAGAATACACCTTTCGTTAGTGTCATTGCTTTGAAAAATTCGCCGTAAACTTGCTCACTTATCTCTTTCTCGTAAACCACCACCACCACCACCCATTTCTCCCTTGCCGACTTTTCCCTGCAACCAGCCACCATCTGTCGTTGCCAAAAGCACCCCAATGAAGTAAAAGATATAATCTGCCGCTGTAAACACCACGCCAAATGTTTCGTTCTGCGCACAGCGAGAAATTAAAGCCAGCTGCCACCACACACCACTGCATGGACTTACATAAATATATTTCAAGACCCTGTCCATGATAACTTTCAATCCAGCACTTGTAATATATATTGTATTTCTCATGCAACATGTAAATGATTGTTTATTTCTGGCATATTGTTCAGTTACATTTATTTTTGAAGTTTGTCTCAGTGACTGCAAAACATCAGTTGCATCAGAAAATTTTCTGCATTAGCTGAAAAGCATTTCTTTCTCCCCCAGATGCAGCAAATGCGGCAAGGCGACACCCAATACTTTCATAAGTATTATCGGATGCTGCCACATCAATTTGATTTCATTCTTCGGCTTCTCCAGAAAGACCTTAAAAGGTAGCATGCTATTAGGGAGCCAATAAGCCCTGCTGAGCGACTGGCCATGACACTCAGGTAATATGGTGATATGTGTACTTTTGTTTTTCCCTGTGATTATTTTACTTTTTCATACAAATGTTACATTGTTTTGCACAATGCAACCCATACCCCCAACTATGTGTTGCACCGTGCCTTTCCGAATTCCATCACCAATTCTAATCAGGTGGCACCCACACATTAGAGCCATGTATATTTATTAGTTTCTACATGCACCAGTGTTTTCAAGATGTTTACTGTATACTCTTACTAATGAAAAATACATTTGTATTGCAGATACCTTTCATCTGGAGACCTCATCCAGGATATTGCACTTGCTTTCAGAGTTGGCATATCTACGGCGCGCATGGCTGTGAAGGTCACGTGCCATGCTCTTTGGATAAGGCTTCAGCCACTGTACATGCCCGTGAGTATACTTTCTGGTACATTATTTACAGGTAGTGCTTAGCGATTCTGCACAGTGTGCATCAGGCTTCAGGTTGAGCCTCATTGTTTCTCACTTGAATCGCTATTCAACTTTCATACCATCCTTCAGTGCAGTGAGGCCATCTCATGCCACTTTGAATGGTCCCTTGCTCAGTGGCCCTTAGGGAAGGCTTATTTAGTGCTTGTGCAGCGTTTACTCTGCATAGTTTGTGTCGTTTACAGTCATGCGTAGCCCACTTATGACCCTGACTGAGCACGTCACCTCACTTCTGGCCTGGGCTGGTTGGAAAATTATTGAAAAAGAAACGTTTTTTTCTCTCTCTCTTTTTGTTCGCTCGTAAGCGACACGCAGTCAACTAATTTTCTGAAAGCGTTGACAGCACATCGCAGAGCACGCCGTCGCAAGAGAGAGCTATTTTCAGCCCACATTGCAGCCAGATTCCATTGGTGTATCTGATATTGTGGCACTGGAGCATTGTAATAAGTGGCTCATTTTACTATAAAAAGCATACTAAAGTGAACAGTGCCATCCCTGTTTTTTAATATATTTGATATATTGCTATAAACAGTGTCTTAACAAGTGGATGTGCTTTCCGGAGGAGCTGCCGCAAAGTAGGATACTTCAAACAGTTTGATTTCCATTGCGAAGAAAAACATGTTGTGTTTGTTTACACTATGGCCGACCGTGCCATCGGCTGGAATCGAGTAGTCTCTGTACCTCTGAAGTTGAGAGTACAAACATTTTGCGGCAACCTTCCACACAACTGCTCTCGTTAAGATCACAGATGCCTTAAAAAAACTCAAAATTATTAGCGTGCTTGCATTATTCCTTCTTAAATTGAGAATTCTAAGCACCACGTTGTCAGCCGCATAATCTCATTAAGGTGCGAATGTCATTTAGTTTGAATGACATTGAAACGTCCAGTGTGGCAGGGGTATTACCTGCACTATTAGATAAGGCAACTAGTTGTATATAAGTAACATATACTCTGTGTGTATGTCATGGTTCTTAATTTTTGCTTTGGTAACTTTTTTTCATAGCATATGCTCATTTTCATAGACGTGAAAGTTAATAACGGTGTCAAGTAACAAAATGTGGGTATGCTCACGGCATTGTGTTGTCCATCACGCAATGCTGTAAATGTGCTGTTCTCTATAGTTATTCACAAAAATAAAGTGTGTACAGTGGTAAAGCAACCCTGTTGACTAATCATAAAATGATGTACAGTTATTTGAAACATCTGAAGCATTGAATCTTTTTATTTTTTCAACACTGCTGTGAAAGGTTATTCTTTATGATGAAATTACTTGCTCAAGGTTTCTCGATACCATAAAGTAGAAATGATTAAACAACTATTAACCTGCTTGTAGATTCTCCTGCAGATTCTCATGCATTCTAAAGATAACTTGTTTATTGCAGGGAACTTACCCCATTGTGCTGCTGGCAGTCGTTGACTGCAATTACAAATTTGTCATGGTTGATGTGGGGGCCTATGGCAAGCAGAGCGATGGAAGCGTTCTCGAACAGTCAAAGTTTGGCAAGCGGCTTCAACAAGGAAAGCTACAGCTGCCAAAGGACTTGCACCTTCCAAACACAAGACTTCCCGCTCCTTGTGTGTTTGTTGGGGACGAGGCCTTTCAGCTGAGGACTGATTTCTTGAAGCCTTACCCAGGACGTGGTCCGAATCCAAGTGAGTGTTCAACTACCGCTTGAGCAAAGCGCGGTTAGTTCATATAATTTGAAACTGCATGATTGTTATAATTGCAGTCCCAGAACATGTGAAATTTATTACTATTCTATAGTGCCAACATCATACAAGCATTCTTTTTTATATTTTCAAAATATATACTTAATATAGTCAAAAAGTCTATATTAAAGGAATTATAATAAAAATTATGAAATAAAAAATTGTTACAATTTTTCTTAAGTAGTCAACATACCGAATTGTTTGTACTTTATTTTCAGCTGCCATATTTACTAGAATGTTACGCAAGTTTGTTTCTCAGATTTTTGCTTTCTGAAGTCAACCACCCTCGCGTTGTGGTCGAATGCCGAAATGAATATTTGTGTTTTTTAAACGCACAAAAAGTCTCCTCTTGCACTACAGTAGAGTAAATGCTGTAATTTGTTATCATAAGATGTTTGAAATCTAGATTGAAGATATCATAACATTTCAGTCATCCTAGTCTTCTATTTTGTTCTCAGATTTAACATGTTTGTAGACACACTGGTCCACTAACTACTATTATGTTTACCTGGTCGAGAAAAACAGTTTTTACATCATTGTGCTGATGTCATTCAAATCGCTCATGCTCTAAATCAAGGGCATTTCTACTAGAGAAGAGCTTCTTTATGCAAGCCCATGTTAGGAATATATCAAGAGGGTATGATAGGGAGATTGATCAACACCGAGCACACAGGTGTGCTCAAAGCCATTTAAGATGGTGCCTAAGACCTCACCTTCTACTAATGTGCAGACTCTTTTCCATCATTGTTTCTCTGTGTACGCTAAACAATATGGAATGATTTTTTATAGCAAGCATGGCTAGATGGTTTGAATATGTCCCCTTCTTACCATTTTCATAATTTTTTATCGCAAGTTTTCACACCAAACAGCTTTTGCAGCATAAATATTACTGTACAATGTGAGCACATTTTGTGACTGTTTTCAGTTCGGTCTTTTTCAATTGTGTCGATAGTTGTGAAAGCTTTGTGGCGTCAAAATGACAATGCGGAAGAACGAACCAAAACAGGCAGCGTGCTGCTCGTTTAGCTCCAGCGAATCAGTGGAGGCATAATTGAGTTTAATAAGTGGATACCATGAGAATCACGCCCCAGGACAAATTGTTTATCCTTGCTCACCCAATAAAATAAAAAGACTAAGGCAGGGCAGGCAGACACTAAATACAGTCTAAAATTTGATGCCCCGCCGCAGTGGTCTAGTGGCTAAGGTACTCGGCTGCTGACCCGCAGGTCGCGGGTTCGTATCCTGGCTGCGGCGGCTGCATTTCCGATGGAGGCGGAAATGTTGTAGGCCCGTGTGCTCAGATTTGGGTGCACGTTAAAGAACCCCAGGTGGTCGAAATTTCCGGAGCCCTCCACTACGGCATCTCTCATAATCATATGGTGGTTTTGGGGCGTTAAACCCCACATATCAATCATTATCAGTCTAAAATTTGATGGTATAGAATCAAGTACATGTGTTTGTTGGGTAGAGCACAATAAAAATTTTTGCATTGAATGAACTTGGTTGCTGTGTAAAGGAGAGTGAATTAGTGTTTTGCTTGTCCAGAGTTTTGTAGAGCTCAAAGTTTACGTTTTTAGACCTTTAATTGATAGAACTGATTACTCACAACTTTCTGGAAACATTTCTTGCTTTATTCAGGAGGTGTGCCGAGAATGCATTTGGCATTCTAGTCACAAGATGGCGGATTCTCGAAAGAACCATGGGAGAGAGCCCAGCAAATGCTGAGTGGAATGTCAAGGCCATGTGTGTGCTACACAACTTCCTCATGGACGCTTACACAGCAAGTGAGGACTCCTACTGCGGTCCCGGCTATGCAGACTCTGTGAGCCCCCTCGGGCAGCGGCGGGGTGGCAAGTGGCGACAGCAGCTCGTGCAAACACCCTTACAACTGGCTCGCACTAAGGCCTACAGCTTTGCCAAAATGGCAAGGTATGTCAGAGACCTCTATACGACACCCTTCAACAGTGCTCTAGGATGTGTTCTATGGCAGGATGCTGTGCTATGAAGAGTTTAAGTGCCAGACACATTGAAGCTCATTAATTTATTAATTGTAAATAAAGATTTTCTGGTAATTCAAACGAAGCAGCATGGTTCACCTAAGCACCATATAATGTTAATTTCTGTGTAAGAGTGCTATCTTTATAAAAACAATTCGGTCGCAAAGTAAAAACTAAAATAAAAATAAAACGGCTTTACTTTGGAACATTTAAATACGCACCTCAGCTACTTACATACTCACCATTTCTAGTGAGGTCATTGTTGCAGTGCGGCAAAGAGTCAGCACCGATATTGCATCAGAGCATAAGTTGCCCACTAGAAACTACTTATTTACTTCTTTCTCATCTGCATACAACAACTAAAAAAGAAAGATCCTAGAAAGCTCGCATTTCTGTGCGACAAGTTCAGTGCCACTGTTCGCACTTATAGGCATATGCATCTTTTCTCTCATTCTGTTCGCCATGAAATGTGGGACAGTCGATAAGTTTAGTCTGGAAAGCTAAGTGGCTGACAGTGCTTGCGTTTACCTCGTATACGCACATGTTTATGCACCAGTAAAAGTATAAAAACCTTGTAAGCGTTTAACAGAAAGCTTTTATCGATGGATTAAGACAATGCTACAACACAGGTGTACAGGCATTGTACAGGTGTACAGGCATTGTACAGGTGTGTCAGGTTTCTTATGAGACGAGCTTTTTTTTTTTTCATAATAAAAGTGACCACTGCCTTCTGTCAGTCAATAACCATGTCACACAAATGCTCAAGACTGTAAAAAAATGATGAAATTTTCAGTGACATTAAACAACAGTAAATGTAAAGCATGCTGTTTAATAATAATAAGCACACTGTTGCGCACGGCAACTCCTTTTAAGTGCACTGTAAGTACCAAAGTGTCACAGTTTATGTGATACTAATAATAATAATATCTTTTATTTCTTCAAATAAAACAGTACATGTGACAAGGCCTGCCAAAGCCAATTGGTGGCTTGAGTGTGTTGCATAGTAATATTTCTATGTAAAGATACCATGGTCAAATAAACACAACTAAAGCTCCTCGCATGATCGATAAACTACAATGCCTGTACACCTACCAAAAGCACACAAATGCATAACCTAGAGTTTTTTTTTTTTTTTACAACCAAGTCGTTATAAAATGCTGAATTCATACAGCATTCAATAGTCCTCCTGTTTGAAAGGATGCCAAGAGCATTTTGAGATGTGCTTGAAACAGAAGCGGCACCCACTGTTAAATTATTCTGGTGAATAGAGGGTACAACGACAATAAACAACACTCAGGAAAGTTGAACTCGCTGATCTTATTACAATGCATTAGTAGCTGAGCAAGACCAAATGCTTTCGCTTGTCATTTTAGGCATGCGTTCCAGAAGATGCAGCATGAAAGTTGCTAGGATAGGGACTATCGGCACCTGCCATTGAGTTGACGGACCAGGAGTGCCTGGCTTACAAGAAAAAAATCAATGAGCTTCAGAACATACATTCATGAAATTTATTTACAAATGCCACTCATTTTCACTGCAGACAGTTTTTTATTTTGTTGGCTGTGGCTGTAAGGAGATTGTCGTGGTTAGGTTCCTCACATAGCAAGGCGTGTGACGCGAGGAAGATGGAGACAGTGCGGAAAACAAAAGGGAGTTATATTGGACGAACAAAAAAAACTATTGCACATACAGTACTATAAGTCGTACACGCACGCAGTTCACACTCAAAAGAAAAGAGTAAATAGTCTCACAGTCTGTGCCGTAGCCCGGTGCCTTGAAGTGGCATCCGTTTCGTGCTCGGATGCTGTCGTCGCTTGGGTGCCAAGTCAGCATACCACTGTAGAGGGCATCACCAGGTCTAGGCGTAGCCGCACACTGTCAGCGACGTCGGCTCGGTGAACGTGGTCAGCAGCTCCGGTCTTTCGAGGGCGCTCGCCGTACCGGAGATGTCCACAGGACCACTCACCGACAACTCGTGCTTGGCCACGCCGACACGCCGTGCCCAGAGGACGCCAATGGCTCGAGGACAGGAACCCGGCCTTTCGAACCTCGCGCGTAGTTGCGGGTTCGTCCTAGGCTCCTTTGCGTCACCTTGCCGGCGTCCGAACAGCTTCGTTCTCCGCGAGCGTCTCCTCTTCTTTCTTCAATGGGCACGCTGCAATGCCCCTTCATTCTTCTCATCTTCCAGGTGATGTGGCGCTGTCGTCTGCTATGCTCGCATTTTTTTTAAGCTACTACATCACATCACCCCCCACTTAAGAAAGTTCTTCCGGTAGGAGAACTTGAGGGCACTGGGGACACGTTGGTTCGCAGTTGGAAACACACACGTAAGCACCACTGCACACTATAGCAGTTCAGAGCCCCGTACACTCGGCACATTCGGTCACAGAAGTACACACCAGAGAAAAAAGAAACAAGTCACAGAACTAAAGCGTCATGATACTTGTATCGTGCTGTAAGGTTCACACCATTGAGCATTGATTCTTCATACAGAAGTTGCTCACGGAGTTGGCAAACGGCTCATGTAATCTGCGCCTATGTCTTCTCTGCCTTTGATATACTCGACCGAAAAGTCGTACTCCATAAGAATGAGGCTCCACCATAACACGCGGCTCTTCACATGCTTGGCCGACTTGATGTACACAAGCGGTTTGTGGTCACTCTGTAGAATGAATGTGCGTCCAAATAGGTAGATGTGAAATTTCCGAACCACCCACGTAAGAGCCAGGGCCTCTCGCTCTACTGTAGCGTAAGCAGCTTCACGTGGTTGTAGTCTACGGCTTGCGTATGACACTGGATGCAGTATTCCTTCGTGACGCTGCATGAGTATGGCACCTACACTTCTCGATGATGCATCGGTGCGGAGTACAAACGGTTTTGAAAAATCAGGTGCTTTTAGAATGGGTGGCATAGATAGCAAAACCTTGACTTCATCAAAAGACTTCTGTTCTCGTTCGCCCCATTGGACTTTGTTTGGGGCCCTCTTCTTGGTCAATTCGGTCAGTGGGTAAGAAACTTCAGAGTAGTTGTGCACAAAATCTCTGTAATAACCTGTAAGGCCCAAGAACGAGCGTACTTCTTTTTTAGTTTGTGGACGCTTCGCAGCCTGTATTTTGTCGAGCGTTTCGACCTGCGGTCGAATAACGCCTTGCCCAATGAGATGACCGAGAAGTTTGACTGACTCTTGACCAATCTCACTCTTTGTTGGCCGAATGGTCAAACCAGCGTCGCGAACTCGCTTGAGAAAAGACTCAAGTATAGCTATATGTTCCGCCCAGGTTTCAGTAGCAATGAGCACATCGTCAAAGTATTAATAAACGTGCGGTATGTCTGCTACCACTTTCCTCATGAGGCGGTTAAACACAGCTGGGGCGGTTTTAATGCCAAACGGCATAAATCTAAATTGATACAGTCCCGATTCTGTTGAAAAAGCAGTCATTGGTTTTGAGCCTTGTTTCATGGGAACCTGCCAGTAATCTTTAGCGAAGTCAAACTTTGAAAAGTATTTTGCTTGTCCAAGTTTACCAAAGATGATGTCTACATGGTGTATAGGCTCGTTATCATTGACTATAATCTTGTTAAGTTGTCTGAAATTGATGCACAAACGCATCGTTCCGTCCTCCTTCTTCACAACTACAGGTGAATTGTAAGCAGACTCCGATGGTTCTATGATGCCTTGTCGCAGCATGTCTGCTATTTCTTTTTGTATCGTTTCTTGGGTAGCAAATAGCATAGGGTATGGCCCACGGGTCTATCCGTGGTCAATCTTAGCTTGCATTGTACGAGGTGCATTTTGCCAGGAACATCCGCAAGTACGTTGTCGCACCTGGTCAATAAGTTGGTGACTTGCACGTGCTGGGTAGGAGAAAGTGACGCCGATATGCTTACGTCAGCAGACGATTCCTTTCGTTGGAATGGTACGCATGATAGCTCGCCACTTTCGGTGTCATCCGCCTGGCAAACAGATGATGCTTCATGCGGTGGTGCAGGCGGCCGTTCCTCATACTTTTTCAGTAGGTTTATATGAAATAGCGTGCTTCTGGTACCGAGGTCAATTAAATAGTCGACATCGTTTCTCTTTTCAAGGACAGTAAAGGGTCCCTTCCACGTCAGAACCAATTTGTTGGTATCATATGGAAGCAGTAGGAGAACCTTGTCTTCAGGGGATAATTAACGTGGTCTGGTCTTTTAGTCACAATGCTTCTTCTGTATCATTTTCGCTTTCTGAAGCTCCTCTTCGGCTAATCGGCAGGTGTCTTCAAGACAATTCCGCAGTTCGACTACGTACCGATAGGACATTTTCACATCATCATCAAGATGATCGGCGGCCCATAATTCTTTCAATATCGCCAGGGTACCTTTGACGTAACGGCCGTAGAGCAAGTCGAACGGGGAGAAGCCCAAGCTCGACTGGGGAATTTCGCGATAAGCGAAGAGTAAGGGCGCCAGGTACCGGTCCCATTTCTTTGGACACTCCTGACACATTCTTCTTATCATTTGTTTCAGGGTGCCGTTGAACCTCTCTACAAGGCTATTAGCCATGGGATTATATGGGGTTGTTGGCAATTGTTTGAAGGAGAGAAGTCGGCTTAGCTCCTTCATTAGGCGTAACGAGAATGACGTGCCTCTGTCACTGATTATCTCCCGTGGGACACCTACACGAGAAAACATCTCCAGAAGTGCCTCAGCGACTTTCTCTGTCTCGATGCTCGGCAGTGCTACAGCATCGGGATAACGCGTTGCTATGTCCACCATTGTCAGTACGTACTTGTTTCCGCCCTCTGACATCGGTGATAATGGACCCACAATATCAATGGCTACTCTTTTGAAAGGTGTGTCAATTTTAGGAGTGTTGCCGAGAGGTACACGACCCACCAAGTGCTTAGGAATAGTTCTTTGACAT